ATGCTATCAATCTTGAATTTTAACTGATGTAGGTGCTGGTACATGTTGCGATTCACTTGGTGATACTTACGTGATGTTTCCTTTTGAGTAGATGTTTCAAACTTTGAGTTTTCACTGATTTGGGAGCCCGGATGAGTTGCGATTCACCTTGTGAATGTTTCGTGATGTTTCCCTTGGTGTTGATGCTTCAAACTTTGAGTTTTCACTGATTTGGGAGCCTGGATGAGTTGCGATTTACCTTGTGAAAGTTCCGTGATGTTTCCCTTGGTGTTGATGCTTGAAACTTTGAGTTTTCACTGATTTGGGTGCCTGTACATGTTGCGATTCACCTTGTGAAAGTTCCATGATGTTTCCCCTGGTGTTGATGTTTCAAAGTTTGAGTTTTCACTGATTTGGGTGTTTGTACATGTTGCGATTCACTTGGTGATACTTCCGTGATGTTTCCTCTTGAGTAGATGCTATCAATCTTGAACTTTCACTAATGTAGGTGCTTGCACATATTGCGATTCACTTGGTGATACTTCCGTGATGTTTGCTCTTAAGTAGATGCTTCAAATCTTGAATTTTCACTGATGTAGGTGCTTGTACATGTTGCGATTCACTTGGTGATACTTCCGTGATGTTTCCCCTTGAGTAGATGCTAGCAATCTTGAGTTTTCACTGTTTTTGGTGCTTGTACATGTTGCGATTCACTTGGTGATACTTCCGTGATGTTTCCCCTTGAGTAGATGCTATCAACTTTGAGTTTTCATTTATTTGAGTGCATGTACATGTTGCGATTCACCTTGTGAAAGTTTTGTGATGTTTCCTCTGGTGTTGATGCTTCAAACTTTGAGTTTTCACTGATTTGGGATCCTGGATGAGTTGGGATTCACCTTGTGGAAGTTCCGTGATGTTTCCCCTGGTATTGATGCTTCAAACTTTGAGTTTTAACTGATTTGGGAGCCTGGATGAGTTGTGATTCCCCTTGTGAAAGTTCCGGGATGTTTCCCTGTGTGTTGAGGCTTCAAACTTTGAGTTTTCACTGATTTGGGAGCCTGGGTGAGTTGCGATTCACCTTGTGAAAAGTTCCGTGATGTTTCCTCCTCCTATGATGTTTCAAATCTTACCTTTATGCTGTCCTTGATGAGTGTGTGTGTGGCGCTTCACTTCGCGATACTTCGGCGATGTTTCCTCCTCCTAGGATGCTTCAAATCTTACCTCTATGATGTCCTTGATGAGTGTGTGTGTGTGACGCTTCACTTCGGGATAATTCGGTGATGTTTCCTCCTCCTAGGATGCTTCAAATTTTACCTTTATGTTCTCCTTGATGAGTGAGTGTGTGGCGCTTCACTTCGGGATACTTCGATGATGATTCCTCCTCATAGGATGCTTCAAATCTTACCTTTATGTTGTCCTTGATGAGTGTGTGTGTGGCGCTTCACTTCGGAATACTTCGGTGATGTCTTCCTCATAGCATGCTTCAAATCTTACCTTTATGTTGTCGTTGATGAGTGTGTGTGTGGCGCTTCACTTCGGGACACTTCAGGGACGGCTCCTCTTCATAGAGTGCTTCAAATCTTGTTGCTTTGCTGTTCTATGTGCATGGGTGGGTTGTTGTTCACCCGGTAGTACTTCGCTGTTCTACCCCCAGGGTAGAGTGTTGTTCACCTTGTTCTTTTGCTGATTCTGTGTGCATGGGTGGGTTGCTGTTCACCCGGTAGTACTTCGTTGTTCAACCCCTGGGGTAGAGTGTTGTGCACGTTGTTCTTTTGCTGATTCTATATGCATGGGTGGGTTGTTGTTCACCCGGTAATACTTCGTTGTTCAACCCCCGGGGTAGAGTGTTGTGCACGTTGTTCTTTTGCTGATTCTATATGCATGGGTGGGTTGTTGTTCACCCGGTAGTACTTCGTTGTTCAACCCCCGGGGTAGAGTGTTGTGCACGTTGTTCTTTTGCTGATTCTATATGCATGGGTGGGTTGCTGTTCACCCGGTAGTACTTCGCTGTTCAACCCCCGGGGTAGAGTGTTGTTCACGTTGTTCTTTTGCTGATTCTGTTTGCATGGGTGGGTTGATGTTCACCAGGTAGTACTTCGCTGTTCAACCCCCAAGATGGAGTGTTGTTCACATTGTTCTTTTGTTGTTCTATGTGCATGGGTGGGTTGCTGTTCACCCGGTAGTACTTCGCTGTTCAAACCCCGGGGTAGAGTGCTGTTGACATGGTTCTTTTGCTGATTCTGTGTGCATGGGTGGGTTGCTGTTCGCCCGGTAGTACTTCGTTGTTCAACACCCGGGATAGAGTGTTGTTCACATTGTTGCTTTGCTGTTCTATGTGCATGGGTGGGTTGCTGTTCACCCAGTAGTAGTTCGCTGTTCAACCCAGGGGTAAGGTGTTGTTCACATTATTCTCTCGCTATCCTATGTGCATGGGTAGGCTGCTGTTCACCCGGTGGTGCTTCGCTGTTCAATCACGGAGTAGGGTGTTGATCACAGTGCCGTTTTGCGGCTCTTGTTGCTTGGGAAAGTATCGACGGATCATTTCTTGTTGCTTCCTCTTTTGGGAATCTACAGTTCTGAAAAGACTGCCTTCACTATGGCAAGCAGGGTTGTCGATCCCCGGCCCCGGGACCCCGCCGAGGTTTTGGGGTTCCGGGGGTCGGC